TATAGATAGATCTGTGAGCATAAAGGCAGATGGATACATGCATACCTCATATAGATAGATCTGTGAGCATAAAGGCAGATGGATACATGCATACCTCATATAGACAGATCTGTGAGCATAAAGGCAGATGGATACATGCATACCTCATATAGACAGATGCATACCTCATATAGATAGATCTGTGAGCATAAAGGCAGATGGATACATGCATACCTCATATAGATAGATCTGTGAGCATAAAGGCAGATGGATACATGCATACCTCATATAGATAGATCTGTGAGCATAAAGGCAGATGGATACATGCATACCTCATATATAGATAGATCTGTGAGCATAAAGGCAGATGGATACATGCATACCTCATATAGATAGATCTGTGAGATAGATCTGTGATAAAGGCAGATGGATACATGCATACCTCATATAGATAGATCTGTGAGCATAAAGGCAGATGGATACATGCATACCTCATATAGATAGATCTGTGAGCATAAAGGCAGATGGATACATGCATACCTCATATAGATAGATCTGTGAGCATAAAGGCAGATGGATACATGCATACCTCATATAGATAGATCTGTGAGCATAAAGGCAGATGGATACATGCATACCTCATATAGATAGATCTGTGAGCATAAAGGCAGATGGATACATGCATACCTCATATAGATAGATCTGTGAGCATAAAGGCAGATGGATACATGCATACCTCATATAGATAGATCTGTGAGCATAAAGGCAGATGGATACATGCATACCTCATATAGATAGATCTGTGAGCATAAAGGCAGATGGATACATGCTTTGTTCATATGGAAAAGAGCTTTTCAGTGGGCAAGATTGGAACTGAAGGTTTTGACAGACAATCACTTTCAGGAATGACTGAAATTATGAACAGCATGAAAACTGACCACTCACACTGTTTACAGCATGTTGATTCCATTGGTTAGAATGAAACAGTATTGCACAAATGTTTGATTGGTGTTTTAGACGATGCTATTTGATGAACATAGAGAATTTTCTGGGTTTCATCTTCTTTTTATAGTATGGTACAACGTTTCAGAGCTTGTTCCGGACCCATCATCAGGTAGTGCCCATCATCAGGTAGAACCCATCATCAGGTAGAACCCATCATCAGGTAGAACCCATCATCGCTGTTCTTTAGTTCTACCTGATTATGGGGCCGAACAAGCCCTGAAACGTTGTACCATATAATAAAAAGAAGATGAAACCCAGAAAATTCTCTATGCACAAATGTTTGTTCAATAATATCTAGATACCTATTATTTCACGTGAACATAAGTTCCTTATGATCAGCCCCGTAACAACAGCTTATGCCATTCTTTGTTCCCTTACGTCTGCCTATTCAGTGGAAACAAGTGCAGCTACTCAGCTGTGAAATTACCCATATATATACTCTTTACATGAGGGGTTACACATTAAACTGACACCATGGGACCAGGAAACCGACGAGGAGAAGTTTGAAATGAATGCCAATAAATCTGTTTCTTGCTTTCTCAGCTGACAGGTTAGCTAATACAATTCCTCAATATTCCATCAATGTGTATGTAATGGAGCGCTCTGCTGTGGAGGGATCAGTGACCCATGGTCAGAGAGTGTGGGAACTGACCACACACAGGGAGGTGGTGACACATTGGAGCAGTCTACATCACTAACAGAACAGTATTACAGTTAGGGTGCACACACCCTTTTTGAAGCAAACTACACATCCAAACTTTCAGAACATATCATCACTGGTATATAAAAAGTATTGATGATGATATATCAAACATGGATGTAAAACAACACACTGATTACAACATTTCTGAAAGTGAATAGCCAAATCACAAGTGCATCCATGTATTTCCAAATACCTGTTTCCATACTTGCAAATGTATGAATTGTTTCATCAGTACTGTAAATGAACTTTAAAGCTAATTCATCCATTAACAGGCATTCCACTGCAACACAATTGAAGACTCAATACTCTAAAGTATTTCAAATACTGCAGTACTGAAACTGTTGAGGTGGTCACCAAACACTGACAGCAGCACTAACTGAGACAAATGTCTTCCACTCCTTCATGACGTTAATGTCCTAGTTGATGAAGAGACATATTATACGCTTATACCTCAGCAGATCTAGCATGTATTGTAAGTGGTGAAGATCAAGTAAGGTTCAAAATGGCTCCCAAAGTACTAATAGTTGTTAAGGAGTCATAATGTCAGAGGTTAAGGGGATCTGCCAGCATCGTGGGTGCTCATCATCACAGATACAGGGAAGAGACACCAAAACAAAGTTTTTTTCTGTTACTCCATAGAGAAAATGTCATGTGACTTTTATGACTAAATTATGCTATCATTGTGTATTTACGGTGGGTGGGGTGGTTATCGGTTTGAGTCATAATCCCAAACTCTCTCCCTTGTATAATTATTGCATCAACTATCAGCTGGGCAATCCAATCATTTACCAAGGTACAATTCAATAGAGGCAGTAACAGGCAACAACTATCAACTGGGCAATCTAATCATTTACCAGGGCATGATTCAATAGAGGTTTTAACAGGGAATAACTATACTATTCCAAAAAAGAAACGCATAACCCAGAAATCTGTTGCAAAAATGCTGTATTTTCAAACATGTATAACTTGTCCACAAATAGACTTTAAGATATGAATTTTTACATCGGTTTAGAAGAAGGTACTGTCTATACAACCAAGTGGATAATTTGAGTTAACGGAGACGTTGAGCGCGATGGTGACCACGTAGCATGGTCCCGACGTCGGGTCACCTGGCTCCCAGTCCAATCTCTCTCAACCTGTTCCGTACAGTTTGACCGGATATCCTCCGAAGTCCAGGCACCCTAGAGCTTTTAATTTTTTTACATTTTTTTATTTTATTTTATTTATTTTTTCACGCAAATGTAGTACCCGGATGTACCGATCTTGGGATGCAGTGGTGACTTGAGGTCTGCCTGTACGGTGACGGTCATTTGTTATACTTGTTTGGTTGTAACGAGCTGCAAGCCGTGATATCGTGCTCAGACTAACATTCAGAGGCCTGGCAACAGAAAATTGGTAATCTCCAGCGTGTATTCTTTCAATGGCGATGTTCCATGTCGCAGCGTGATTTGACCTTGAAACTCCTTCAAAACAAATGCCGATTTCCGAAAGTAATCTGGATTTTTATAGCCAGACAGTGCATGCTCTTCGCTGCACAATTTCAACTGGAAGGTGATTTCTGTTGCATTATGGCGAAGCATTTTTAATTCTTGTAAAAAATCTCATCAAAATCAACATTTGTACGTAAAGTCGACTTTTCACTCGTGCAATTGTGTAAAATCATGTTATCAACACTTTTGTTACATATTTTGACAATTGTTTGAACACAATAGGTAATTAACAGATTTTTATAAATACAAAACACCTATGCGTTTCTTTTTTGGGATAGTATATTAGCTGGGCAATCTATTCATTTACCAGGGTAATATTCAATAGAGGCAGTAACAGGCAACGACTATCAGCTCGGCAATCTAATCATTTACTAAGGTACAATTCAATAGAGGCAGTAAAAGGCAACATCTATTAAGCAGGCAATCCAATCATTTACCAGGGTATGATTCAATAGAGGCAGTAAAAGGCAACAACTATCAGCTGGGCAATCCAATCATTTACTAAGGTACAATTCAATAGAGGCAGTAACAGGCAACGACTATCAGCTGGGCAATCTAATCATTTATTAAGGTACAGTTCAATAGAGGCAGTAAAAGGCAACATCTATTAAGCAGGCAATCCAATCATTTACCAGGGTATGATTCAATAGAGGCAGTAAAAGGCAACAACTATCAGCTGGGCAATCTAATCATTTACCAGGGCATGATTCACTCAGTTAGATGTTATCCAGTTAACATACTTATATTCTATATGTTTTTTAACACAGCAGCTACTGTGTAAGAACTATTTGAGGACTGTAAAATTATGAAAGGGGTCTGTTATATTCTCTCATGTTGATGAATGCACATCATTTGAATTTGAGAAAATGGTCTTTTTCATATAAACATTCTCCTTTTTATATGAAATATGTAAACTCTAATTTGAATTTTATTTTCAGATAATTCATGAGAAATTTCCTTACAGCTTCATATGCACAAACCCAGATATCCAGTTGATATTTTCATCATTTTCCTTATCTAGAGTTGGAAATGAAATATAATCCACTGACTGATGATAAGAAATAAATAGAAAATCATTTCATTTATGATATGGATTCACCAATGTCTTTACAAGGAAACTGGAATGCCAATTTCCATCCAACTGCATGACCCTAGTGGGAACATAATAATCTTCCCCTTTGATATAACAGTAAATCTTTTGTATGTTTGTGACATTCATTCTGTGTACCAAGAATCTGATACAGCAGAATACAATGGATATATGTATACCATCCGGGTTGGAATATTTCCTCAATATCTTATCTCATTTCACTTCAAAGTTTCATATCCTAGACTTGTCCAGTTCTGATAGACAGCTATAATAGTTTCCCTTGGACAAGTATACATATATTGATGAAAGCAAACAAGATGATGTATCTACCATACATGTGTCCCTATCAGTTCTAATGAAACAGGGGCGGTGGGGTAGCTTAGTGATTAAAGTGTTCGCTCCTCACGCCGAAGGCCCGGGTTCAATTCCCCACATGGGTACAATGGCCCCCAGCGTGATATTGCTGAAAACGGCGTAAAACCATACTCAGTCAACTCAGTGAGTCAGTCTAATGAAACATACAGAATAGCATATCAGTATCAACATCTATGAACAGTGATATCTTTTCGGCAGAACAGCACCATTTCTGGATTAATACAAATTAGGAAAAGGAACATCTTCAAACATTTCTTCATGGTGTGCATTTCAGTTAATGTTGATTATTATGGTAGAATTGTCTGTTTTGACATGGTTGTGTCATTGTCAGGGTCCTGTAAGTAAAAGTGTCCCCTACCTGCTGTCCATGGTGATCGGGGAGAAGTCCATCTTGTGCTTGCTCTTGAAGGTCAGTTCCCGAGATGGAATGTCAAACAAGGATAGAGGACCAAATGGACAGCAGGTTGCAAACAAGGCCAGTTGTGGCTCTTCTGCACGGATGTTCTGTCCATGCAAGACTCGTATCCAGCCATTGATCTCTAATGTCTGGAAAATAAATCCATAGCTGTTATGTCATTGCTGAATTGAGTGAAACTGAAACAAAGTGCATAACAGATCAGCAGCAGCATTACAGTAAACCTGATCAATGTGTATATGTACGAGAATACTGTGGAAGGCCAACACACAAGAGTATACCCTCCTTCAAAGGCACTGTTCCCACCCTGGAGAGAAGGTATTTCCTGCTTTAAGATAACAAAAGTGAAGCGATGCTTCAAGGCTGTCAGCACCAAATTTTCAAAATGGTTAACATAAGGATAAGGATATTTTTCACATTGATGCACAATGATTTATAAAATCTTCAATCAGAGATTGTTGTGTGATCAGAACAATGGATTAAGATTTCCTGAATGACAAAATAAATAATTTACTAGTTTCACTAATTGTCTTATTTGTCCATGTCATGTGTTGGCTAGTATTTGCAACACTAAGTGTAAACTAGTTCTCGCATCACTAAGTGTAGACTAGCTCTTGCATCACTAAGTGTAGACTAGTTCTCACAACACTAAGTGTAGACTAGTTCTCACATCACTAAGTGTAGACTAGTTCTCACAACACTAAATGTAGACTAGTTCTCACATCACAAAGTGTAGACTAGTTCTCACAACACTAAGTGTGGACTAGTTCTCGCATCACTAAGTGTGGACTAATTCTTGCATCACAAAGTGTAGACTAGTTCTCACATCACTAAGTGTAGACTAGTTCTCACATCACTAAGTGTGGACTAGTTCTCACATCACAAAGTGTAGACTAGTTCTCACATCACAAAGTGTAGACTAGTTCTCACATCACTAAGTGTAGACTAGTTCTCACATCACTAAGTGTAGACTAGTTCTCACATCACTAAGTGTGGACTACTTCTCACATCACACTAGTTCACATCACTAAGTGTAGACTAGTTCTCACAACACTAAGTGTAGACTAGTTCTCGCATCACTAAGTGTAGACTAGTTCTTGCATCACAAAGTGTAGACTAGTTCTCACAACACTAAGTGTAGACTAGTTCTCACATCACTAAGTGTAGACTAGTTCTCACAACACTAAATGTAGACTAGTTCTCACATCACTAAGTGTAGACTAGTTCTCACAACACTAAGTGTAGACTAGTTCTCACATCACTAAGTGTAGACTAGTTCTTGCATCACAAAGTGTAGACTAGTTCTCACATCACTAAGTGTAGACTAGTTCTCACAATACTAATTGTAGACTAGTACTTACAATGAACCCTGAAGTGTTATCAAGGAGGCAGCGGAATCGTACTGTAAACGACCGATGGAGATAATGATGATTTTCTGGAAACGAAAAGACAAGCATGTAATACATATACAACTTCATGTTATTTTGATAGCTTCCCGTCACTGTATTGTCTAGCCCCAGGTACATAATGTGATCTTTATTATATGTACCAAATCCAATTGATTGGAAAATAAAACTGAACTATTCTTGAATGAAACTGACATTCACGCTGATAAAATTGACATGGAACGGAACTGACACATTTCTGACATTATTATGATGCCACATGAAATTGACATGTCTGAACATGAAACTGACATGTCTGAACATGAAATTGACATGTCTGAACATGAAACTGACATGTCTGAACATGAAATTGAACATGAAATTGACATGTCTGAACATGAAACTGACATGTCTGAACATGAAATTGACATGTCTGAACATGAAATTGACATGACATACACAACATACAGGACGTACAGGACACTGACAAAGTGCCAAGTGTATTATACAGAGTGTGAATCACAGTGTACCTGGCAACATAACTTCATGGAGTGGTATATTGGACTTTTCTTGTGGCAGCCCTGAGGACCAGGACAGCTGGCGTTTGAACTCATCCCGGTCTTCTGAGTGTATCAGCTCCATCACACTCTGGTGTATGATGTCCGACTGGAATGTACACACCAAATATCATCAAATTTGAATCATACATCAGTGACTCCTACCTCTAAAGACCTATTCCCATTTGAAAGACCAAGTTTATTTATAAGTAACACACTGATGATGTATAAATCCATACACCATAACAAAAAAGAAAAATATTGCTCATAATTTTAAAGGAGACTATACCAGAAAAATATTACTAACTATACAACCAGTGTGCGAAATAGCCGGTGGCTAGTAAAAATCAAGTCAGGCCAGTAAATCTCCACAGGCACTGGCCCGACTGGCTAGTGGATTTTCAAGGGGTAGTTTTGTAAATATATCTCACTCTCTGACTTGTTAAGTTATAAGAGATTATGGTCTAATAAAATGTCCATCATATTAGCAGTTTAATGATGACTTATTTGACCATAAACAAAATATTTCAGACGTGTGTTTTCTTATTTGTTTTTGATGGTATTTTTCCTTTTTGCAATATTTTGTTTAGTTTAGCCATTCAAATTTTGGACAAGTGAATTATTTTGTGGGCTAGTAACTTTCAGGCATAGGTAGCTCGACTAGCTAGCAACATTTGGAAACTATTTCACACACTGTATACAACTAAAGCAAGCATGTTTGCTATCTATCAAGGCAACTGAAAACTTCAGTAAAACAATTTCATCCATGCAATCAATCAAAGTGTATTTCACTATAGCCATATTGTGAATTAATTATGAGTTTTCAGGCCAGGTTACCTCACAGCAGACAGTTGATATGCATATTTAATTACAAGAAAAAAAATGGTTAAAAAACCTGCACCTTCCACGTTTGAAAATTGTGTGAAGGACAATGTACTCATATGTGACTTGACACTTGTCTCAGTCTGTATCCACTACGATATGATCATACACACCAAGGCATATGGAAGCCATCTTATACAGAATATACTACAGTAACTAAAATAACTAAAGCCAACTGTAGCTATAGAAGTTGCTGTAGAATTCATTAAGTTCATATTCATTAACCTGTGCTTGTTAAGACTGTTGTGTCATTTCTAACAAAGAAAGATAATGATTGTGGTTTACTATGACCTAATGTCATACAACAGATAAAAACTGACAGAAAAAAACAACTTACAATTTTTTCCCAGTTCAGTTATATAACTGTATGCATGAAGACAGTACACTTGCTGAACCTGAATTAATGCACAACCACGACCACCGCCGACTAAAGAGGATAAACTGCCACAATGCCCAGGTTAACTCCCAGGATTATGTGACAGCTCCCCTGCTTCAGGCACATGGCACCGTATAATCCATACATGCCTTTTGCATTACTACAATAGTGAAGCAGCCATTGCAACATTGTTTCAAGGGGTCTACGAACCTGTTGGTCACCCATCGCTGAACATCTGCTAAATTAATTGCTCCATGACACTTTGGTCAACATTACTAGCTATTGCGGAGCCCTAAGTGTGTATATTTCTTGCAATCAATGCCAAAAGTTGGTAGGTCAGATTAATATTTGGGTAACTGATTCGGTAAGGTCATTCAAGGTATGAGTTTTGATGCAATTTGAATACCTCTGGGGTAAAGTCCTAAAAACTGATCCACCCTTATTTGTTTCCAACATCGGTGGGTATGCTCTTCCACTCATTATCACAGCTGAATTATGGGAGTTTGAAATAGCCGAGTCCGTATGAGTTTCACCAGTCACTTGGTGCACTTCTCATTAGCACAATGTGCCAGAGACGAAACATTAAAATTTAAAGGTCTCTGGAGAATAAAAATTTCATGGTTGGAGAATGACCTCCACTTGTTCACATTATTGTGATTTTAAAAATCAAATTTAATTCCCATTTTTTACCCTCTAGATATGGACATTGCTATCATTAGTTTAAGTGAAGGCAATAAATTTCCAATACAGAATAACCTTGCCAGATTAACATTTCTTTCTGCCATAACATTTTTGCAATAAATTTTAACATTTGTATTGGACACAAAAACATATCACAATTAATGTATTTGATACATACTTTCCTAAGAATTCATATATATTTTGTTGACTGCACAATTAAAGAATTTTAAAGAAAATGTTTTACATTAATTCAAACAAAACTAATGATTCTATAAATACTCAAACTTTGTCACAACTTCTAAAACTATTGAAATTACTACGAAAAAAATATCAACCAACTGTATGCACAACAGATTAGCTTTTATATCACGAAAACACTCATAATTTTCAACTCCATAGTTTCACAGAAATTTCATCCAAGATAGAGAAATAACAAAAACCAAGTCTCTGATGATCTGAGGAGAATCGGCAAAGATGTGGCAACTTCACGCTTCACACCAGAAAGAGGTTTACCATAATCCTGACACTCAGTAGCCAAAAAATGTCAACAATATGTCTAATTAATTGCTGTTTTGGATTGTAAATCGATACACTCAGCTGAAGAAGATAAATCATGTTGTATTGACTGCCATCTTTAAATACCAACTACATGAATCCCTTTCTTCCTCTCAATTGAAGATTCACACTAAGTCGAAAGGCTAATTTAAGGGTTCCTCTCCCTTGGGTAAATCTCTCTCTTCAATGGCCTGACCCGTGGTGGCTGAAGGCCGATGGGGATTTGCCTCCCCTAATTTCAGCCTCACAATGTTTACACAACAATTGATGGGAGTCAAGTACAGCATAGGTGACCCTGCCCTCAAAGACCATCATATGCCTTGCCTATTATTTAGGGACGAGCGCTGAACCTTTGAAAACATCTGCCCTGTGTATAAATCTTGGGCAACCCTTCATGTTTAATGCTATGATGCACATGTATATTAAAAGGCTTCATTGTGGTTACCAGACAGCTATGGTGTATTAGATGGACAAAGAGGCAGGGTATTTCTGACAACCTGCTCCTGGTGGGCTTTGTGTACACAATTTTAAAAGGGTTTTTATTGTTAATACAATCAGGTCACTTAGTGCAAACTAAAATGTCGGCTGTCATTTTGTGTTCAGTGTTTTGTTAGCAAACCAACTGTGAATTAATGATCATTATAAGGTTTATTCAGTCACTTAGGACAAAACTGGTGGTAGATCATGAAATCTAATAGACAAAAGATTAGCCAGCGATGAAATACAGGTATATGCCAAGGCAGTTTAATATTAGAAAGGAGACATTCATTATGCTATTTCTAGAGGTGCCTAACAGACACATGATATCATAAACAATAAACACTTCTGTCCAGACTCACCTGATGAAAGCCAAGGTATTGCTCTACCATCCTAGATGCATAAAACACTTCTCTCAGATGTCCAGACTCACCTGATGAAAGCCAAGGTATTGCTCTACCGTCCTAGATGCATAAAACACTTCTCTCAGATGTCCAGACTCACCTGATGAAAGCCAAGGTATTCTCTACCATCCTAGATGCATAAAACACTTCTCTCAGATGTCCAGACTCACCTGATGAAAGCCAAGGTATTGCTCTACCGTCCTAGATGCATAAAACACTTCTCTCAGATGTCCAGACTCACCTGATGAAAGCCAAGGTATTGCTCTACCGTCCTAGATGCATAAAACACTTCTCCATCGCATGTGACTACAAATAAAAACCCGTACAGTGCCTGAAAAAAAGCAAACATCAAAATTATTTTTTTTCTGACATGTTCTGTCGATGAAATAGCTGCGCAAGAACAAATATCCTATATGTGGAAAGTTATAATCATTTATGATGCAAAATTAATAATATTTTACATTTTAGGATGGAATGCAGATTCCAATCTGAAGAAAAGCCACTGCATTAGATATCAATATTTCATTGCCATGTTTTGCTGAGTCTGCCAAGGAATGAAGCTAAAACACAAACTGTCAGTAATGCCAAAGTTGAACCAGTCCCGGTGTCCTCCACAGACCTAGTACTGCTACTTCCAGTAAAGAATCAGAATAGATCTGCCTTGTTTGTGTAGTACTGAGTGTGTAGCAGCCATACATCAAACATCAACCCTTTCACTCATATATATCATAACACATACTAGGTAATCATGAATTGGATCCAATTATATATTTTCAGATCTCCTCTCTAAGATAAATTAGTTATTTTGACTTTCTCATTGGCTATTTTATTTAGTATAGAAAACTTGTCCCTCATTTCAGACTGATGGTGGAGGTGGGGTAGCCATTGTTAAAGCATTCGCTTGTCACACCAAACACCTGGGTTTCGATTCCCCATGTGGGTACCATGTGTGAAGCCCATTTCTGGTGTCGTTGCCGAAATATTGCTGGAATATTGCTCAAAGCGGTGTGAAACTCACTCACTCAGAATGGTGTGTGTTTTGTCTCGATGAGGACTACTGTGAGTTATGTGCCTGCAACTACTGAAGCTAAGTGCTGACATGACCATTCACGCCTCTGTCTGTATGATCTACTATCATCTCTGTAACTCAGAGTGACAGTTGAGTGACAGGTACACATACATCCAAACATGACATGACAAACACACATATTAGACAATGACATGATATAGACACATATTAAAGACAAATAAAAAAATTCACACCATATTCACAGCAGTGGAAATTGACAACATCGCAACTGACATGCAGTCTTGGAAGTTGGAAATGACAAGTATATCCATTATTTCTTATGTGCAAGGTGCACTGTTGTGTCTGCAGCCCCATAAAGTGACGAGCTAGAGTGCACCCTGTATACCTGCCCGATGCATAATTTACAACAGCACATCAAAGCCAGTCAATGTGTTTTAAAGCCTTGATTAAGTGTTAATTTGGGATTGTAGATCTGCTTTAATCTAATTCTAATTCCCTGCTAATTAAATATTTAGATCATAAGGGTCTGTTTCCTTTGTTGCCACTGATTAAAGATATTCAGGTGTTCAGATTTTCACCTGTGCAATTAGCGACTGTGGGCTGGGGAAGGACAACACAAAGGTAGGGTACAGCTGGACACCAAATGCTCGGAAATTCACAATTTCTGGTTTACAGATTGAAATGTACAGGGAAATATTTCATGATAAATGAAACAGATGCACGTCAATTTCACTAGGGTTTACACTGAACAATTTCATCTGAGGAAATCCACGCACTTCCTCTGCCATAACAAAACTGCCTTGCAATCAGCCTGGTTGTATATATACGAGACATACAACTGCAATACTGAAATAGACTGCACACAATCTCTCAATGTCTGCTTTATCTATTGCCAATATAATTCCCATTAAAGTAATTGTTTAATCCCAGTGAGATTATTCAATCAAGTTAGCACGCTGTCCTTTTCAAAATTTGTAAGACTGGGTTTTTCATCAAAATATTAAAATTACCCAAATTCTTGTAAAAATACTTTTGCAGCAGAAATCCCTTCTAGATGTACTTCCTGGTTGTCAATATCTGCTGTCAATGCACTTGAAACTGACAACCACTGTATACACAATGATCAGGTTATTGAGTGCAACTGACAGGCACTCTGACAGGTACTGCTGTAGGTCAACTTATTTAACTATCTTTTGTTCAAGAATTTTAATGTAATTACTTCATGACACTTGCCAAAAATACAACATAGAAAACCGCTATGATAATGCTGAGTGCAGGATTAAAAACAACAAACCAACAAAATACATTTGTCATTATCTGCATGTGACTTTGAAAAAGCAAGGCCCCCAAGCTCACATCTTATGCGATTTCCACAGTCATAAGTGATCTGAACTAGTGTTGAAATGTAAATGAAAATATCCAAACTGAAAACACTGGTATTGATAGTGCAATGAGTCACATATTACATCCTGCCACAGTTTTGTAGATTTCTTGTATTGATGCCATATATCGCATCTGTTTCCTTGGAAACAAGTGCAGAGATACATCCTGAAATCCGGAGCCACTAATCTACACTGTTCAATATACAAACAACATGCATGAACCGTACCTGCAATATGCTCTCTCCCTCTGAGAATCCTGGCTCTTGGAATAAGTGAGACCTTCCCATCAAATGAGACTCTATGCCATAGCGGTTTGGCAGCACTGCTGTAACACAAAGGTAAAATTGTTTTAAAAAAATATAATAAACATTAAAATAATTAATAAAATATGTTTAGAAAAAAAAGTATATAATATTCTTTCAAAATTGCATATGCATACACCCTATAAACTATAACTCAAAACACCAATTTAATACACAGTAGAAAAAGAAAAATATACAAAATAGATACAGTGGTGTGAGATGGTTTGTACAGATGAAATATGGAAAGGGGCTCCATAATGTTGTGCTGATGTGGATATCTATCATAGTGTACATGTGTGTAGACCTTAAGTAGGCAGTGTTATGGTCACTGTTTTCAGCCTGGTAACAATTTGTTTAACATTTGTAATGTTTTCTCAAATCCCATTTAAAAGAGCATATTTTGTTTCTTTTGATAAGAAACATTATATTTATTTAAAGAGATTCAAACAAACTGTGCCCGAATCATATATGTTGTTACATTGTTATGCTATGAACATCTTATGAAATATGATACTCTATTAGAAAACACTTTGTGTTTGACATACCTGTGTTTGCACCTGAGAATGTTGTTAATAACATATCATGTCAACACAAGATAGCTTTAGTAATTAAAACTTGCAATAACTCTTGTCATTTTCCACTCAATATCTCTGGAGACTTTTTAATTCTGCCCTTAACACTTGTGACAAGGGTTTATATCCCTCAGCAACCAGCCAAACAATCTACTCATCTCGTAAAAATTCCACATTGCATTTTTTAAGGTTTTCAGAAAGTAATAAAATCCGTATATTGTCTCATTACCCAAAAGAATGAATGAAATGTAACACTGCTCTAGATCTGAAATATCCTCCAACTCATGTGTAAACAGATGAGATAACAACAAGGTAATATATATGTGAAATATACGCCACTTTAGAGCTTATGTACATTTCAATACCAGCATGGCTACTCATTATTCTCCAGGTGTAATATGAGTTGTTAGCACATGTCTCGTAATGTACATCCATCACTCAAAGCAAGTCAAGTATTTGACATTATGACAAAACATGCTCTTTAAGCCGCATCGTAGAAAACTGTGTGGAAGTCATGAGTATTGTTTCAGATGTAAAGCCACCGGAACAATCGGTAACTGTAGGAGAGTAACGATAGCCGAAACATACACCGCAATGAACACCGCAATGTACACCCATTTTGATGACAGTCCCTGATAACTGTGTTTCTGCTTGGAGGTGTACAAATTGCCTATTTCTCAGTTTTCCCAAAGCTGTTTTGATTGTTAGACAGCATATAATGGCTACATTTTTCCTGAATTTGAATTTCTCAGGTTTCAGAAAACAAATCTTAGGCTGAGGTTGCCCCATTCTGATCATAATGAGTCACACCTAATGGCGGGAAATTCAGTACTCTCTCACCTGTCCCTTTGCATTGGGTTGACTCAAAGCTTATGAGTAACGAATCAAACTTCTTAAACTAATATTGAAGCAAGTTTCCTTTCATTTAAAGGAACATATTATTTCAGTGCAATATGAAGTTAAATTTGCTATTAAAATAATTTCTACTTCTATTTAGTTGAATATTTGTCAAATGAATTCATATTTTTTTATTGTCAATTCCCCAACTATTCCTGACAATGACTCTATATTTGATCTTGTTATTGAAAATTTACAAGAAATGACTAATGATTCTACATAAGACAAAATTGAATGTTTCACTTGCAAACAAGAATATAATCCTTGTTATATTTTTCTTGAATGAAATAGACATTTTTTTTTTCAAAACATACTTAAAATGTTACAACTTGTTTCAGAATACTTTGAAGTTATATCATTTCAGCTTCACCTCATCCTAAACTAATGCTATAGCCGTACGATGTTTGCATCCTATTTTCTTTCATAATAATAATCTTTTAGGTCAATAAAACATGCATCACAAGAGATGAAGATTGCTTGATCGGCACACAATGCAGTGAATGGACGATTGTGGCTGCGAATGGATTTTACGACTATTTAAACAACTCTTAAGGAAATGCGAAATAACCACCCTTGATGCATTATCAGCAAAATTGCAAAATAATATGCATCATCAAGTCAGAAGAAATATGCCATTGCGTTTCCCGGCCGTTCAGCTATCATGGTGTATAAGCTCATCTTTAGTCATTCCTTCTAATATTAAGCCATTTTGAGAGATTCCTCTCAAGAGGCCTGTAATTTTTACCCCTAAACTTTAAACAATCAATCGTTAAGTTTAATCTGGCCACGGTATTACCAATTCAAATTACATACTGGCAAAAAAGAATCCTGCTCGGAAAATTACATGTCTCGCGACTTCAAAATAATAATCAGCCTAGATGAAGTCGCACAAGGCAATATTTTTGGTCTCATCAAGGGTAATTTTGCTGAAAATCCATTTCACAATGGTGGTTTCCTCAAGTAAGGGTTCTCAGTAACATTTATTTCTTCTTGAATGATGTTGTCCTGTCCATCGTGATGATCATCCTTGATCGGGGAATTTATGTGGTAATACAAGCAATTCTTCATGGTGGTTCTTCGTCTTTAAGCATATAATGGCCTAACCAGAACCAGGCCATTTGTATTTACACTTCAAAGCCCATATAAATGCAGCCATCATTAATGTTGTACATTCTAGCCCTTTATGTATTCCTTAAACTCTGATTTAATCCAATCAAATTATCTTGATTTTTATTTTTCAATTTAATCAAATTTCTGTCTTGCTATTTCTGTGAGCAGTTATTATTGCTGTCAATGTTGTACTAAAAAACGATTACGAATTAAATACTTTATTTTTGAAATAATACATTTCAGCACCATCCCTAGAAGGGTTGTGATGATTTGTTATTACTGGTAACATGATACATCGTGAGGTGCATGAGTGATATATACTTTTATACACATTTATACTGGCAGTTTACTGGGCTAAGCATCAATATTTTCAAAAACATAACTCCACAATAATCTGAAATACAAATGATATAGGTTTTGAAAAACATAATATAAACTTTTGATTTTTAGTTATTCTTCAAATATTTGCTCTCATCCAATAAAAAAAAAACAAGACTACCAATATCTTGACAAATCCCCGAATGAAGCTAAGATGCTAATGGGCTTTGAAGATTGTATTTCTGTCTTTAAGTATATCATCATATGTTCTCTTAAGCAAAATTGGGACAAACAGAAAATAACAAAACAGAAAGATGTCCCAAATATATCATATGTTACAAAATGTGTATTTTTGAAGAAATATATGGAAAAAAACATAATGTATACTAATTCCACATGAGAGAGTTGCCAGTCTATGTCAGTGTAATGTTGTCAGCATGTGAAGGTCATCAGAATTGTTGGAGAAGTTGTACACATTACAGAAAACTACAGTTATAACGCCCTTTAAGGGACCACTAACTTTAGTTCATTATATCCATAGTTCATCATATGCATTACGACTATAATAAACAGCAAGTTGTCGGGACTAAAAAACTGTTCTGTCAGTTCGTCATAAGAGTGTTCATTATATATGTTGTTTACTGTATATCAGTCTGAAAGTCATGTACAAGTGGTACACATTATATTAACCTAAAAACAATGTACAAGTTGTACACATTATATTAACCTAAAAGCAATGTACAAGTTGTACACATTATATTAACCTAAAAGCAATGTACAAGTTGTACACATTATATTAACCTAAAAGCAATGTACAAGTTGTACACATTATATTAACCTAAAAGCAATGTACAAGTTGTACACATTATATTAACCTAAAAGCAATGTACAAGTTGTACACACAATATGAATCTGGTAGTGATGTACAAATTGTACACAAAATATGAATCTGGATACAATGTACAAGTTGTATACAAAATATGAATCTGGAAGCAATGTACAAGTTGTACACATCATGTCAGTCTGGAGGTGATGTAAGTGTGTCTTTAGTCATCAGTTTTCTAACACTGTTGATAATCAAGTATTGGCAATAAAATGGAGAGCTCTCCTTCCTTGGACATTTATGACTGGTGAAAGGTATGAGCTGATTGAATTTCAGTTAATTAATAACTACACAGTGTAGCCTTTCTTGCTCAATGATTGAATTTGAAACACTACTCGTGTGTTCTGTCGCAAATAACAAAATACTGTAATTAACTCAAAATTCCCGTTCAAACAAGATGATTTGGCCGTGTGTCGCTAGTCATTGCTTAATTAATGCATTTGTCTTGGCTTGTCTGAAATTAACATTGATGGATGACACCTCTGCAATGGACAATCAGCGTTTATAGCACAGAGGACACAGTCTTCATAAACACAGGCAATGATTAGGACAATTTTCTTATGAAAAATTCTGAACTGGCTGATGAAGGAAGAATAAAATTCTGAACTATTTCTTTATGTTTGTGAAGAACACCACACAACAATTTCAGTACAATTTTCAGTACAATATTTCAGATGATATTTCTAAAATTCACATTCATAAAACTCTTTTTCCAGTCGATAATAAATTTTAATTTCAACCATTTACCAACAATTACAAACATATTTCAACAAACTATTTTCATTTTGGTATAATTCATATTAATTAGTTTATATATTTAGTGCCTTCTAATTTCAGCTGATTTTTAAGGTAATTCAAAGGAGAAGTTGTTATCCATAAGATTTGTCTTGTAATAATTCAAAGGAATTGTGCTTTTCTCTCTGGTCTCAATACTCAGGGTCAGTGCCACTGTATTCCATGCATTTCACATTCACCATACAACATCTGAGCAAGAATCAAAGAATTATGACTTGTCTATTTCCCCTGATATGAAATTAACAACAATTCACTTCTTGACAGGAAAATAGCATCTAAAATCATTCCAAGGAAAGCCATGCCCTCATGAGACAATCTGTTCATCCATTTTAATTTTTCAGATGTGAGAGTTAATTATGGTTCAGAATCCATTTGTAAACCCTATGCTGTTGCCTGGCCTGTGTAGTTGGTCTGGAAATGAGCAGTTCCCTCAGTCAACGATATAGCT